AAATCATAGTCGAGGCACGAGTTAAGGTTATGATGAAATTTTAATTGAATATGTGGGCATTAAATGGAGAAAGTTAAATAAAATATGATAAATAGTCCACTGAGTTCACTGTTTTCTTTACATTCAAATTAATTTTTTTCAATATATAAAATTTAAATAATAACATGATGTCTTATATATCACTAGAGATACAAAAGTGGTGCTATACTTAATAACGATTTTATAATATTTTCTTCTAAATCACTACGTTTTTTAACAATATTTGTTTAGCTCATTTGAATATGCTCATCATCATTAATTGACAAAAATAACAACAAAATGCATTTTTCATGAAACTTTTAATTTTTATAAAAATTTTTACAAAGATTTGGAAAGATTTAGTAATCAGTATATCCGCCGTTATCCGATATAATATCAAAAATTCTGGGTGATAAAGATTCTTAACCCTCTATAACTCATCATCTCCAAATTTGAAATTTTCTACAAATTCGAATAACAGCACAAATTTAATAAAATACATATTTTTTTAAATTTTAATATTTTGTGTAAAAAAGTAGTAGCCTACAATGAGCTAAAATGGCGAAAAACAAGCAAAGTTTTTCTGTAAGAAATAACAACTTAACGTAAGTGTCGGTAATTTAGTGTCGATGATCCGTTCTAGATAAAAAATTATGCTCCATTGGCTGTTTTTTTTTTTAGTTTTTTTGTATATTTAAGATAACATAACAGACATACATATGTAGCTAAATCGACTCAGAAAGTGATTCCAATATTTTTGGGAGTTACGAACATCAGCACAAACGCATAATACCCTCCCCACAAAGAATAGAATATACACAGCAATTTACATAACACCATAAATCACAATAACTGTTAATATAGAAATTTGCGAGAAAGAATATCCGAAAATTTTTCAATAATAAATAGGAGAGATGAGTATGGAGGCTACTTAAAAATGTTTACTTTCTGGTTTTAAATCTATCCTTTTACAGCCCTGGCGGTATGGATCGTGGCATTATATTTTTGAAATATCCACGGTAAGTGTTCAAAGATATCCGAAATGTGAAAAAACTCTTTCCAGTATGGCATTGCAATTCTTACTAGATGGTAGAAATTGAAGCTCACATGTTTCATAATATAAAACTACCCCCCACTATATCCCACATCCACCACAGCTATGCAGAGGACTCAGGTAGAACTCTTTCTTGCAAAAATAAATATAATGATTACAACGATCTGTGCCTTCTAAATTAAACTTTTTTTCATCCGAAAAAAACTAGATGTTGCAATTGCTTTTTATAACCATGTGTTCACGTGCAAACTGAAGAGGTTTTTTCGTACGAGTGACAATTGGCTCTTCTTACAATATTTTTTACTGCAGCAAGGCTTGCTGTAACATTCACTTTTTCTTTAATCAGAATCACTTGACTTGGAAGCATATTTTATTAATAACATTCTGACATTGCAAATTTTTTTTGCCAAATTCCTGTGATTTTCGACAGTTTCCAAAAACGCTTAAATTTTGTAAATATACATAAACTCAAATAGCTTAAAACACCTTCAATAAACCATTGACAAATATAAGAATTTTATTGTAGGCTCAACCTTCTTTAAGCCAACAATAAGTAGATTTTTAATAATTTTTTTCTCAGATAAAGCTTTTTCCTGTAATTTTAGGTTGATAGCGAAAACTAATTATGGTTTCTTTAAAAAAAAATCTAAAAATTATAATTTTAATGTTTACAAATTTGTAAATAAAATCCCAGAAAAATTGTAAACGATTATATTTTGGTGAAAAAAAAACTGAAATCTAGGCATTATTGGATTAATGCATGAATATTTGATAATATTCCAATTGGCCACAACTATTTTTAGGCAATTTGGAAATGCCTAAATGGAAATGGACAAAATCATTTGATTTGCCTTTTAAGAAGTTTGTTGGTTAAATATAATGTCATAAAGTAGTAATTAATCATGTAAAATTAGTCAAATATCAAAGAAATGTATCTATATTTCCAAAAATTAATAAAAAATTACAAGGAAAATAAATAAAAATAAAAAATGTGCAATATTGATGTTTATTTTGTCGCTAAATATCCGTTATTCGGATACTTTTAATAATAATTAGAAATTATATGTTATATTTATACATCTGAACTAATTAAACATAGCCATATACATTATACATATTTATTATACCCTCTACCACCATCAGAGGTGATAGAGGGTATATATAACATTGTCATTCCGTGTGTAACACCAAGAAATATTCATCTGACACCCAACAAAGCATATATATCCTTATGAAATTCTCAGTCGATTTAGCTCTGTCCGTCCCTCTGTCTGTATGTCTGTCTGTTCGAAATTCGCCCAAAACATTCTTTATTATCCGGTACAGTTTGGTATTGAAAATCAGTAAAATCGGTTTACAAGGTAAAAAGTTATGAGTAAAAATTTCAGACTACCTCTAAAAAAACGTTTTATTTCCCAATTCTTAAGTAGTTTTCTCAGAAACCACCAAAGATATTTCGATGAATTTTGTCAAACATTAGTTTTGCCAGGGATCAATTATGTTGAAACTCATAACAATTGATTCAATATTTCCCATAGCCCCATACAAAGGTGTATATTCCCGGAAATTAGTTTATGGTTTATAACTCCCTCAAATATATCGGTATCAACACAAAATTTTGTATATACAAATATAACCTGAATAGAAATCATACTACAAACGTGGATCTCAGATCGGTCCTTTATTGGTCATAGCTCCCATATAAAGCCCACTTCCGAAAATCATTTAAACTCACATATTTCATTGCGAAATAAAGCTATCTTGACAACGACACAAATATGTTTTGTGTACATACATATGAATCACTCTACGAAATTTTTCTGGAGAGGCCCGAAATTGAAATTAAAGTCCACTTCCGAAAATCACTTAAACGCACATATTTTATTAATTAATAAATCTATTGGAGTAAAATTCGACTTGAATTTTTTTTTTTTTTTTTTTTTGCATATAAATCATTATACGAAATTTTTTCTTGATCGGTCCATAATTGGTCACAACTCCCATATAAGGATCATTTCCAAAAATTACTTAAACACACATTGACAATCAAAGTCATCGGGATAAAATTCGACATAAATGTGTATTTTGTATATATAAATCGTTATACGAAATTTTACTTCTGAAAATCACTTAATACCACTTAATTCAAATGATTATATCCAGATAAAATTCGACATGAGTATGTTTGTGTATAGATAAATCATAATATTTATAGTTTACAACTGGCCTATTAATATAAAATTTTATGAACCTAATCAAAATTAGTTCCACATATGCATAAATGTTAGTACCCTCACTACGGAAACAACAATTTTGTCAAGTTATCTAAAAATTAGATAGTTAAATGGGTTTTAATAAAAAGTAGCTTGCTGGTGGAGGGTATTTAAGATTCGGCACAGCCGAATATAGCACTCTAACTTGTTATACCCTTCACCTTCGTAAGAAGGGTATATATATAAGTTTGTCATTCCGTTTGTAATTTCCAAAATATAATTTTCCGACCCTATAAAGTATATATATTCTGAATCCTTATAGATAGCGGAGTCGATTAAGCCATGTCCGTCTGTCTGTCTGTCTGTCTGTTGAAATCAGTTTTCTGAAGACCCCAGATATCTTCGGGATCAAAATCTTCAATAATTCTATCAGACATGCTTTTGAGAAGTTTCCTATTTAAAATCAGCAAAATCCGTCCATAAACAACGGAGATATAAGCAAAAATCCGAGACAACCTCTGCAAAATTTCATAAAAAATAAACAACAACAACACTGCTTATTCATTGCCTTGTGTATTTTGTTTTTCTGATTATTTCGTTTCTTATGTTTGAATGGCTGTGTGTTTCATAGCCATGTGTATGTTGTTTTTGTTTCTTGGTGTATTCAGTTTCGTATGTTTGGATGGCTGTGTGTTTCATTGCCTTGTGTATATTGTTTTTGTTTCTTGGTGTATTCAGTTTCGTACATATGTTTGGATGTCTGTTAGTCCCATTGCGGTGTGTATTTTGTTTTTGTTTTTTTGTGTATTTCGTTTCGTATGTTTTTTGTGTGTTAATTTCGCTTAGCGTTGTTGTTGTTTATTTTGATTTGCTATTGCTATAATAATGATATAGTCGGGAAAATGAAATAAATTTAAATTTTATAAAATTGATATTTTTTAAATACACTATGGTGAAGGGTATAAATCGTTATACGAATATATCACTCTTACTTGTTTTTTTTTTAAAGTTCGTTTTTATTGTCAAAAATCTATAATAAAAATCTATATATAAAAATATGAAATTAAGAAAACCGAATCAACGAATATTTTATCCTAATTGTACGCAACACTAACACATAAAATGACAGCCAAATTGTACAGTGCTGCCAACTTAAACATAAAACAGCACAATAGTTATTATGGGTTTATTATTTGTTAATGAATATCACAATTTTATTAATGGCTTTTAAGGCAAAAGTGTGCATTAACTATTGTATGCGTTAAAAACAAAATAAGATTTTTTTTATAAATACAAGCGTTATTCTTTAGTTAATGGCTTACCGCGATAAGTTTTTTTAAATATATTGTCTATATTCACAGACACTAGAATATGAATGGATTTTACCCACTGCCAGCAGAAAATTGATTTTATTCTGAATGAACCAATCAAGTGAGCCAAAAAAATATAGCTCAAAAACGTAGTATGTTAGAAAGATTATTAAAATTATTAAAAATGAGCTATTATGTATAGCGCTAATTTTTGTCTTACTAATGATACCTAAGACATCATGTTATTATTTAAAATTTTAATATTACTCATTAGTCCATGATTTTTGGCAAATAATTAATTTGAATGGAAACAAAACAGTGACCCTATTTAAATGAGCGGGAGCGTATTTTATTCTTTTTTATAGATATTTGTGTTACTTAATTATATATTGTATTTTATTTCAGATTTTATCGAATTTTAGATTATAGTCGGAATCAAGTATCACAAAACAATCAAAGTGTTGAATCGATTTATACACCAATGTTTCGACGAAGTTTGTTTACTATCGGAATTTTGATGAGATATTTTGACTTTAAAGCACCTTATGTTATTGGTAAGTATATAAAAATATGTATAAAGTCCGTTCATTTACAAACTACTTTTTAATAGTTTTACTATTTCTTACGACATTTTTTTTAAGTTTTCCGTTTTTTGTACACAAAAACCTTTAAAATATGGAAAGCTTTTTAAAATAGAAATATTTTTCTCTTTTACTATTTTTAGCTTGAATGTTTTTTTGAATAGAATGTAGTAAAACAAAATTTGTTCTATATTGATTTGTTTGTAAAGAATTTCTTTAGTGTGTCCTGTGGGCCACTTTTTAGGAGGAATACCTCTAAAACTATGCGTTTCAATGTACTAAATACGAGAAAAATTAAAAGCAATTTTTTTGAAAAGGTCCTCAGTTTGAAAATCTTGATATCAGTACAATATGTTCAAAAAAATTTCTGCAATCTTTTCGAATTGAGTAAAAAATTCCGTAATTTTGAGTTTGTCGCGGGAAAAATAATTAAAACCCTTGTTAGTGTATTTCTGGTCCGTAAAACGACTTATATTGTATTATAAGGGACATATAAATTTCAAAAAATTTTAAAAAATTCTGAAATGGACTAAAACAAGTAAGTGCCAAACAACTTTTAAATATTTTTCTGTATGAGCTAAAATTTATGACAATTTTGACACCCATTTTGATAAAAAGCGGGAACAAAATGCCTCTCCATTCCACTATAAATAATTTCGTGGACCAAAAATATTCTACACAAATTTTAAAATTAATTTTTTCGTAATCAGCTAAAATTTACGAATTTTTGAGACCAATTTCGAAAATATACGATTTTCAATTGCTTGTGGGGAACTGAGGATTTTTTATTTTTCTCGTGTTCAGTACATTAATACGCATCGATTTAGAGGTATTCCTACATGAAATTCTTAAAAAGCTGTTCCTCGGGACACTCTAATGTACATAATGACATTGAAACAAAATGTACCTGAATTTTGTTTCATATATTTTTGGGAATATTTATATTTTTAGAAAAGTATTGAAACAAACCTATACTGTTCGGTCAAGTCCTTTCATATTGTTTGGTTCATGTGTAAAAAATGTAGTTGCACGGTATTATAATATAATAATATTATTCAATTATAGTAATTTTCAATATTATCGCTTTCTTTTCTTTCAGGAGAATCTAACAACCTTTCACCAACCATATGTGACGAAGCTTTTGACTGTATTATGTTTTTTACTCAATGTTCTAACTACGAAATTCGAAAACAGTCATTAATCGCTTTAGGTTCATTTTGCGTAATGAACGATGATTATTTGATAAGGCCAGAACTGAAACAATTTTATTGTGATATTCTAAGTTTAGATAAATCAGAGCCCAGTATAAAAATAATATGTATGCGCAACATATGGATTTATCTAACTGAATCCGAAATGTATATGTACAATAAGGAAAAAGAATGTTAGTAAAAATTACACAATAAAAGAGCCAAATATTTTAATAATTTTATTTTAGGGGAAAAACAATCAAAAAATGAAGATCTTAAAGAAATGAACGATGTTTCTTCCGGAATGGCTAGCAGAGTAATTCAACTATATTTGCAAGAAATTTTGGATTGTTTTTTAAACCGCGATGATACCGTTCGTCTTTGGGCAGTTAAAGTAGTTCAAATAGTTTTGCGACAAGGTTTAGTTCATCCGGTACGAATGGTACCCTACTTAATCTGTTTGAGTACCGATTGCAAACTTGAGGTATTCATTAAATAGATATGTGTAAACATGTTCATATACAAGTTTTATTTTTTTTTTATTTATTTAGTCAGCGCATAGGGCAGATGCTTTACTAAAAGATATTGATAGAACATATTCTGGATTTGTTAATATGAAAGTTCAATTTGGATTACAGCTATGTTTTAAGCTACAGGAAATACTTCAGTGTAGTAACAAGTCAAAAAGTAACATTATCAGAGGTTACGTGTAAGTATAAAATTATTATTTCTTTGATAAATATTTTGCACCCATATAAGTTGTTTGTGAATGATTATATTTGTAAATAATACCTTACGTGGTGATCATGTATGTATTATACATTTTTAGTATACATTTTCCGTATTTTAAAAAGATATATATTTGAAATTTATCAAAAAGTTTGTCATAGGTATTATTTTAACAAATCACGAAATTTAGCACTTTGTTATAAATTGGAATAGTTAACAAAAATTCGAAGTTTAAATAAAATTGGCCCAAGGATTCATATACTTTCCATATATCCCAAAATATGAAAGAGCGATATTTTTCATAAAATTTGCAATAAAATTTTGAAACTTTGCTCGTATTTATATGTATATACATACAGTGCTGTGCTAAATAATATGCTGTTAAAAAAGAAATATATTGGTTTTGATATATCTCTCGTAAAAATTATAATTTTAAAAATATTTTGGTACCATCGTTTTTGTTATTGTCAGTAAGAATAAAAATAGTACTAAAACAGTACTAAAAATTGTGCATAATAATAGACTTATTTTAAGAAGTTACATCCTGGATGAAATTAAATACCAATGGAAGGCAACTTTCATTAAAACAAGCTGTGCCGAATCTTATATACCCTTCATCATAGTGTATTTAAAAATTCATTTTCCCGACTATATCATCATTATAGCAATAGCAAAACATAATGAACAACAACAACGCTAAACGAAATAAACACACAAAAAAATACACAAGGCAGTAAAACCAACAGACATCCAAACATACGAAACGAAATACAGAAAAAAACAAAATACACAACGCAATGAAACCAACAGACATCCAAACATACGAAACGAAATACTCAAAAAAAAAAAAACAAAAAAAAAATACACAAGGCAATGAAACACACAGCCATCCAAACATACGAAACAAGGCGAATTCAGATAAGGTGGTGGCAGTTCTGCAACACCAACATTTTACATGTATTTTGTTTTTGCATTTGGTTTACGTAGATGTCAAAAACCATAAGTACGGCGAATTCATTTGATGAAAAATTTTTGTAAAAAGTTTATATTTTATTAAAAAATAAAGATAAAGATATTTAAATTTGTAAGGAAAATATATTCTGAATTGAATAATGTTTGTTTCAAACGAAAAATTCTATTCCGGCAGATGGTTAGGTTAGGTTGATAGGAGGATGTATACTACATCAAATCCGAAGAAATACACCTAGGCCACTATTGGGCCTGTTGTGCGCTCCAATTCAAGAAAAAAAAATTGTTCACAGAATGTATTATTTTTCCATGTTTAGAAACTCAGTTTCCTGGACGTAATTCCTAAGAATCTTCCAATCGGTGTTGGTTAAGAATGTTATTTCCGGAATAACATCACTTCCTAGATACTTGGATCTAACTTCGACGAATGCCTGACAATGGCAAAGAAAGTGCTCCAGAGTTTCACTGTCCTCTCCACATGCTCTACATTCGTCTGAATCCGCACGTCCAATTTTGTATAGATGTGCACGTAATCCTGTGTGTCCACTCAGAATACGTACCATCATACTAACCTCAGACTTGCTCATTTTGAGGAGATTTCTCGTCTTGCTCTCATCAGAGTCACCCCATAGAATCTTTGTGGTTCTACCCACCGTTTCATTATTCCAAGAGGCCTTATGGGATTCTCTCATCCATATTTTTAATTCAGCTTTTGTTGCGTCGACTGGTTTTGCGTTTGTCAGGTTAACTACATCGAGCTCCCTTCCCTTTAAAGCTATTACATTCGCCCTTTCGTTGCCGACTACTCCCGAGTGGCCTGCTACCCATATGATGTGAACCTTACCTCTGGGAGAGTATTCAGTTAAAGCTTTCTTACAATCCAATACGGTCTTAGATTTAATTCTATCACCTGATATCGCCCTAATTGCCTTCTGGCTGTCGGTAAATATATTAAGCCCTGTGAGCGCCATATTTATTCTAATCCAATTTACACATTCCGTTATTGCTCGTACTTCTGCCTGGAAGCTTGTGTTATGATTAGGTAAACGGTGGTATATTTCTGTTTCTGGGTCTTCAATATAGAACCCCAGGCCCACTTTGTCCCCTAATTTAGAGCCATCCGTGTAGCAACGGATTCCTACTGGTATTTGCTCTAATGTTCCGCTTGACCAAGACATTCTATCTGGGATTAGCGTTTCAAAGTTTTCGACATATTCTGTGTCTGGTATACGATCAGGCACATCCGATGATTGTGTATAACCTTCCAATGTGTCCAGTATACATTGATGACGTGTCCTATAACCGTTTTTGGCCAGTTCGCCTAAAGTAAAGAGCCGTTCGGCTGTAAGCGCCGCCTCATATCTTATATATGTTTCAATGGGTGGAATATCTAGCAACGTTTCCAGAGCCTTGGTTGAAGTAGTACACATGGCACCACTTATACCCAAGCAGCATGTACGCTGAACTCCCTGTAGTAGTTTGATATTACACTTTTTGTCCATAGCAGTTCACCAGATTATTGAAGCATAAGCTAGAATTGGTCTAATTACACTTTTATAAAGCCAATTTGTCATAGTAGGACTAAGACCCCATTTCATGCCTATGGTTCTCCTACATATCGCCCAGCACCGATGTGCCTTGTTGATCCTATCCTCTATGTGGTGTCTCCATTTTAATTTCCGGTCAAGTATTACACCTAAGTACTTAACTTTGTCTGTCACCGGTATCTTCTTGCCCAGGAAGCAAGGTTCAGTATATGTAGAAATTTTTGTCTTTCTTGTGAAAAGACAGATTTCCGTCTTCGCCGGGTTAACATTGAGGCCTCTCGGTTGAGCCCAGCTTAAGGCCGTATTCAGAGCCTCCTCAGCTCTTCTACACAAGTAATTTGGATCCTTTCCCTTTAAAAGTATTACGACATCGTCTGCATAGCAGACAGGTCTAAGTCCTTTCTCGGTTAGGGTCCTTAGGAGGCTATTAATCGTGGTAACCCAGAGTAAAGGTGACAAAATGCCACCCTGTGGTATACCGCGAAATACCTTTTTCCTGATAGTTATATCGTACATCTCGCAGCTTATCCATCTGTTCCTTAGCATGTAGTTGATCCAGTTACGGAGCACCCGGTCAATAGGGAGCAAAGCTCTTGATTGCCCCTTTAACCATGTCAGTTGTAATAACTATTTCCGTGTTACCCTCCCCTTCCTCAAATATCGGTTCATCTATGTTATTCGATATACCGGGTGGGAAATGAGAATCCATTAGGAGTTTCATTGTCTCCTCCATATCCTCAAGCCTCCTGCCCCGATGATCAGAAAAGGAGTGCTCGTCCGAAACTCTCCAATCCTGAATTTCGTTTATAAGCTCTTCTGAACATATAGTTATATCTAATACTTCTTCTCTGATTCTATTGACGAAGGTAGCTTTATTAACTAAGTTCAATGTTATCAAGTCTTTAGTATTAAGGAAATCCATGAGGGCTTGTCCCCTGCGATTGGTGTTTGTACTACCCCAAGCTACATGGTGCGAGTTGGCATCACAACCTATTACAATTTTCTTATTTTTTCTTTGTGCTTCTTCAACCAATTTCATCAGATCCGACGTCGGTGGTAGTGTCGGAGAATCGAAAGGCAGGTAAATAGATGCGAGGAATATGTTGCCACGACCTTGCTTCAGTACCGTTGCATCCGATGTTGATAATCCTGTTGAGAGGAGAAAACATAAGTTCTTGTGACATAAGATACATGTTCTCGGGCGAGATCCTGTATCAGCGTAGAAAAGTTGGAAATTTACGTGATTTAATCCAGAAACCTTGTTGCGAATAGTCCAAGGTTCCTGGATTAAAGCAATATGTATTTTACCTGTGTTGATTTTAGCCGTCAGAGCGTTGGTAGCTGTCTCGCTCCGATGGAGGTTTATTAGGATAACCTCAATCATGATCATCCATTAAACTGTCTTCCAGCGAGTTGGTGGTCACCTCCTCGCTCTTTGGATTTGACTCCTCCGGATAGCCTGAAGTGGCTATTAATGCAGTGGGTACTGTTAATGGCACTGCGGTGTCCTTATCAGGCATAGGAATAGCAGTATTTTTAATAGACACATTCCCAATTCTGGAGCACTGCTGTTCTGTCTTCTGGCGGGTGAGTGATTTCCTCCTCGCTTTTAGGATTTGACTCCTCAACATTGCCAGTACTTGCTAATGATGCTTTGGGTACTGTCTTAGGTGTTTTAGTGTCCTTGTCGGGGCCGGTTTTGACAGCCCTATCAATCGGCGCCTTCCCAATTTTGGAAAGGGCAACTACACTTTCTTCTGGCGAGTTAATGGTAAATTCCTCGATTTTAGGATTTGACTCCTCAACGTTATCAGTAGTGGATACTGTTGCTGTGGTCTTAGGTTTTTTAGTGTCCTTTTCGAGGCTTGTTGTAACAGCCCTTCCAATCGGCACCTTCCCAATTTTGAATATGACAGATTTAGAGGCGAAGTAAGCCCTACCTTTATTCTGGGCAAGACTAGCCATGGATTTCTGGTCGATACCTATTACAAATAAAGTTCCCTCAGGTTCTTCTTTCCTGTAAAAGACATCCCATTTTTCCACGGCCAGCTCAGCATTTTGACCACCAAGAATTTCCAGTATACGTTCATTAGCCAGTTTACTGCCCCATCCTTTTATGTAGACAGTGGACTTTAAGAGCACCGGAAGCTCGCTCTTCTTTGCCAGTACCAGCCTAGCGCCGTCCCAGAGAGGAGGGATACTTTCCACCAAGTTCTTTAGGGTGCTAACACATTGGTGAGATGCCAACCTCATCAACATCACGCCCATGTTGAACTCGCAGCTCTCGCTCTCTATTGGTTGTTTGCCCTTTGAAGCGATTGCGTGGTCCACTATCTTATTGTTGACCAGGTCTTCTATTTTACTCTGTTGGTCTATTGGAATTTTGCCTGTCGGATTACCGGCATCGTAAACTGCATAGCAGAGATCGTCCCGGTGCCTACTTCTGGCAACTTTGGCGTAAGAT